CATACTCTTACTCCTCCAGCTTTGTGTTTATCAAGGCAAAAACAATACATGTGTCTCTAGTGAGATACACGCACTTCCACACACACACAGACACACACACATATATATCCCAATATGGTCAAACACACACACAAGCTGCCACAGTCATACAAGGGGGTCACCAGCAGGCTCTATGTGCGATTGAGTGTCTGGAAGATTCTGGATATTTGGAGCATGACGGGACCAGTCTCAGGGTCGTTCATCCACTGGGTGCTGTTGAGAGGATTCTCCAGCATGTCTTCAAACGCTGCACACACACGCAAGACACATTAGTGACAAATATATTTCTCAAATACCAGCAGCCTGTGAAAGTACACGTAGCAAACCTCTAAAGTCTTACGCGAGTCCATGACAGCCTGAATGAAAACAGCCACTAAACTTAATTGTCAGTCCATGATTTCATGTTTACACGAGTTTTAATGACAACTGAAGGTTTCCACAGGTTCTGTTTCATGTTTGGAAGGGGAGAGTGATGTGAGGGGTATTCAGCTGCAACATGTAACTTCACCAGTAGATGTCACTAAATTCTACACACTGAACCTTTAAGTTAAATTCGACTGTACCTAGCAGAGTCTTGGGGTTGGTTAGACCCAACTGGACCACTGGATTCTCCAGGATGGCTTGGAACAGCGGGCTGTTGGTGTCGATGCCTTTGTCTAGATCTTCTGGAGAAGGTTTCCTGTCTCCCAGTAGCCATTCACACTGCAGGACGGAAAACAGCAAGAAGCCAAATTATCTGTCTGTTTTTGAAAATACAATGATATCTTTAGTTTTTATTTTAATAGCATAACATGGCAGTTCATTCGTTACTGTTAAACCAACCACAGGAAGCAAGCATTAGAGCTTATTAAATAAACAGGAGAATGTGAAATGTGAAATCAAGTCAATTCTATTTTGCATTAAAAGACTACAGTCGGGAATGGGTGAACATACCGCGGCATCCTGTTGGTTGTTATTGACTCTCAGAGCATCAACCACCTCCTTCTCATCAAAGCCCATCTCCATCAATGCAATGACAGCCTGCAGAAACAAATAAAAGGTTTGAATGTTCCATCTAATTAACAAACAAAGTCAAAGTCCTATGGAGCCCAGCATGTGTCTTGGGTACAAAAAGCTTATTTGTGCACAGAAGAAGAATCCAAAGAAGAGTTACAACCTTGCAGATAGCAACTCTGTAAGATAAATCAACCACTGTGGAAGATGGGGTTTTAATCCCTTTTCTATTTTTGGAGATTATCTGTAGCTGCGTTCCTGGGGAAACTATAAATTATAGAGAGAAGACTATGAACACACACAAAGTTATATATGAAAACTTTGGAATCACCAACACTTAATACTGATCAATGCAGGTTTGAATATAATGTCATCACACTTGATTTGTAAAGATAAATATCATGTCCCTACATAATAAAGAGTGAAGGAAAGAAAAACTGTTTTTACGCCACATCAGGCAAACAGTCTGTATAATGTGTGTGAATATAACCCTGTCTTCAACATAGCAAGTCTGAGTGCTGAGATAAGTTTTAGAAAAGTAAGTCATAATCAAATTGCTGTCTGAAAGCTCTGACTGGATAGAGCCACTCACTCTTGAGTCCGGTCTGAACTCCCGTTTCCTGCGGATCCTCTTGAAGATCTCAGTGAGCTCATCCTGCCTGCCACTCTCCTCTGTGCTCGACTGGCTGGAGAGGCTGCGGAGAAGGTTGGGACCAGAGGCTGAGGCGGAAGCGGAAGCAGAGGCAGAGGCTGAGGCAGAGGCAGAGGCAGAGGCAGAGGCGGAGGCGGAGGCAGAGGCAGAGGCTGAGGCAGAGGCGGAGGCAGAGGCAGAAGGGCCTGGTGTGGCAGCTGCCGAGGCTCCTGCTGATCCAGAAGAGTCGTGGCCTGGTAGAGGCGTGTCTACAGAGGGGTCGTCCACATGTTCAATAAGCCACTCCATGGCCTGGGTCACTGACATGCTGCAAGATTGAGGTAAGAGGAAAAAAAACATGTAAAATTTAAATGTCTCCAGGACAGATGACTGGAGTAAGTAGGTACTTTTTAGTGAGAGTCCAGTATGACTGTGTGTTTTGAGTTGTGAGGATTTAAGCTAGATCCATACTAATATGTTTTTGTTTTAAAATAAAACAATTTCCGTCCACACATGCGTTACTGATCATAAAGTGATTATTAGTGATCATTCACGTACAATGGACGTGTGCCTGTGTAAACAGGGTGCAGATTTGTCTATTCTGCAGCCGGTTGCTTACATACAGAAAATACTAAGAATGGTGAAAAGTAAGACGAGGGATTTCTTTTCTTGTACTTTTGTAATTATGAGGTGGAGCTGTTATTCACAGTGTTTTGTCTTCACGCCAGCCGAGTGACTGATAAGAACCAAGACGGAAGCAAATGCAGGTGACTGCATCATTTTTTCCATTTTGCCCGTGCATACTACAATGTAGTTGCAGCGTTTTCAAATTGAAATGGAACAGCGTTTCAAAACATGGAAAACTCCAGAGTAGTGTCGATGACAGTGATGCATTTTAAAACTAGAACATGGCAGTATGTATGTAGATTTAGTAAACAAGTACAGCCTTACTGATTTAGTCTGAGAGCTTTGATGGCCCTGCTCTCAGGGAAGCCCATCTCTGTGAGCTGCTGAAGTGCCGTTTCATCCACGCGATCCTCTTCATCTTCATCCAACATCGCTACAAGTCACACAAACACAGACACATTAGAGGACAGCTACTCATGCTGAGAAATACATGTGAACTATCGGGATCTGGAAAAACACTATATGAGCTTACCTGCACTTTCCTTGATGTTTAATATTTTAAAAAGTACAAAAACACATAAGCCTTGAAATAGATTTATGGGATTGTGTGGCTTACCATTGGCCTTTTTGAAGAGTTCAACAGCATCAGGGTTCAAGGCAAGAAGCTTCTGGGCAACTTCAATAAGAGAAACCAAGATTTTTCTGAGCTCTGTCTGAAACTGGAACAATACAAAAACACAAACACGTCAGAAATCAATATCATCTGCCAATTTTAAACTGTAAGTAAAAGTTTCAGAGAATTACATTAACTTCACTTTTTTAAATTGATAAATGAATGATATTGAGCTTCTCACATCTCTGATATTGTGCTGGGTAACAGTGCGGTCAGTGTGGCGTATGGAGAGGTTGCCGGTGGCTTTAAGAATAGCATCTTTGTCTGGAGCTTTGTTATCTTGTTTCTTCTGTGAAAAAAAGAGTTGATAAGAAACAGGTTAAATAAGAGTCCTCTTTTCTGATGGCGGTTTTGCAGAATTTGAAACATGATGATGAAACGCTTTGTATCTTCTTCATAGAAAGTTGAATAAGCGTACCTTTTCATCTGAACTAACTTCTGCCATCTTTGGAGCAGTCGGTGGTGGTCTTTTCTTTATGAGCAGCAAAACGTCTGAAAAATAAATGTTTAACATGCTCAGTTCATGGGAATCAGTGTAGGATTCTGACGACATAATTGCAGAATTTATCAAACTGGGATTGACATACCTTTATCTTTGAGATTTTCATCAGCGACTGTTTTTGTGTCTGTGAGAACTCTCTCTGTAGCAGCATGAATAAGTTTGTGGTGGGTAAGTGTTTTGGGGTCTTCTAGACTTCCATGTACATACTACAAAACAAGCACAACATAAATCAGCTTAGACATTTAATCTGTAAGAATTTTGATAATCATTCAATCTTTTAGTCATATAAAAAAAGTATCCCAAAGTGAGAATTTGATCCTTTTCTCTTAGTTATATAATTGTAAATAAAATAAATCTACAAGTTACACATGTTTTTTATTTTATTTTGATTAATCCACGTGATGATTGATTGAATGATTATTCATCAGTTAATTGAAAACTCATTGCACGACAAGGTGACATTTTATCGGCTGCTTCATCTGAGACCCTGGAGAATTTAGATAAGTAGTATTTATTGTTATCTGATGTTTTGTAAAATTATTTAAAGAATATTAAAGAACTTTCCAATTTGACTGGGCGATGTGGCCAAATGTATTATCAAGATAAAAAATATTCATATGAGCCAATATCGATAATTATCAAGATAAATGTCACATTATGATTTCTTTTTGAAATGTCCTGCTCCCGCGTGAAGGTTGTGGTTTTCATGAGGCAGACGAGAGAATAAAAAAATACTTTAATAAAAGGAAAGCAGAAAAAGCGACATAACTTGCGATATATTGCTATGGACGAAAAATGACATCACGATAACGATAGATATCGTGTTATTCGCCCTGCGTTACAGTCAAAAGCCAATTAACCAGCAAGTTGTTTGAGTTACACTCTGTTAACAAAAGTCTGGAATCGGATCTTCATCTTTGACTTACATCCACATGTGTCGGTGTCACACAACGTGTTATTGGATCTGTGTGTTGTCCCCATGTTGTCATGCGAAACACATGAGAGCAGCACTCGGAGATGATGCTTTAGGCCATAGAAGGAGAGGAGAGACGGGCTGTGTAATAATAGACAGGCTCTCTGGACAGTAAAGGGGGTAAAGTGTGCAGTGTTAGCTGCAGCTAGCCTGAGAGGTGGCGGCCAACCTGCTAAATTATAAATAGCAGAGTCTACCCAGTTACTATAAATACAAACCCACTGACACTGGCAGTTTACACAGAGGCTACGATGGGCTGCCGATGAGGGGGTGGGGGGGACACAAACAACCCTGATGCACCTACATGTTTCAAGCACTTCTCCTTCAGTTTGTCCACGGTGGTGTCCTCCGTCACCTCCTCCAGCCACTCCGTGCCGTCCATGGTGCAGATGTGTATTTTCAGCACCTTCCCGGCGAATATCTTCTCCTCCTGGACGAACATAGCGGCGGCGAACACCGACCCGGTCCGGCGGCGGTGACGTTAGCGGGCAGCAGTTGCTATGTGCTCGTCCTGGCAAGCTAGCGTGCTAGCGTTAGCACCCAGCTAGCTAGCCCGTCGTTGTGTCGGTCCGCCGACAACAGAGCGAGAGCGGCCGCCGGTCAGCGGGGGGGCATGTCCGGGCTCCTCTGCGGGGCTTCGGTGCGGTGGCCGCCGATTGCTGTGTCCTCTGGCCCGGCAAGTGAGTTTATTCCCCGGTGTTGACACACAAGCGGGCAGCCAGCGAGCAGCCTGTTTCCACTGTAGCGTCTGAACTTTGAACTTCAACTTACACCGGTGCATCATGGGAGTTGGAGTCTTTGTCGTTGTTGTTGCTGTCAACATTAAAATGTAATCAGTAATTATTCCACAAAATATTACAACAGCACAAAGTCGTGAGGAAATATATATTAGTTTATGAAATAAAATCCAAAATACACAATCAATAGTACAATTACACATAAAAACTGATTCTACACCTCCTCATTCTTTTAACCTTTTCATTGGAAACCTATTGTTTTCTATTGTGTTGTATGTACAGTTGTAAGTATGTAAATACCAGTTTTTTCAAAAGCCATGTATAAGATTTTGTGTTAAAAACTTTTTAGTTTGAAACTACAGCTGCAGTGCTGAGAAAATTAATTTACATAATTGAATAATGTGAATTGGAGCGATTTCTAAACCAAAAATACCAAAAGAATGTCCCATTTTCTTATTCCTCTGACATTTTCTATTTTTCTTACTTACATTGGCAAACTCAGTATTTTGAGGTTTTGATTGCATGAGACATTGACATGTGGGATAAATGATCACATAATTTAATGAATGAGTTACATTCTTTTTTTGTAAGTCATAATGTCGTGAAGCACAAGGCAAGATAAATGTCTTGTTTGGTCTGATGAACAATTCAAGACCAACAAATATTCAGTTTAAAATGAAATAAAACAGAGAAAAGCAAATGATGGTGAATATTATTTGGATTATTGAGGAAAACTGGCAGAATAAGTGATTTAAGGTGGGTTCTACTTTATCACCTGACTTTAGATTTGTCCCAAACACCTGCTGGTGGTCGCTAACATGTGCGAACTTCAACTGGTGGTTGGCATCCTAATAAGTGCAGTAGACCTTCAAACATACAAGGAATAATCTCAATCTTGTCCCATGTTGTAAAATGTTTATTTAAATGATGGCACAACTAACTTGGGGCCAGATGGTGTTCAAACATAATCATAGAAAGATTTTACCCGTTGAAAACAGTAACTTGGATGTGGTGCATTATTTTCCCCCTATAAAAGGTAAAAATAGTTGAGACCACATTTTGTAAAGATGTTGCAGCTGGGTATTTGCACCACTAGATGGAGGCACACTCAGTAAAATGATAGTCTGCCCATAATGAGGCGCTACTGTATTTTGAGGAGAAAGTATAACAGAAGATAATACCGTGACTATTGTACCGGATCTATGATTGTGTTAGTAATCCTTAGTTTTCTTCAAAGATGAAACAATTAAACATAAGATATTACTCTTTACAGATCTTGTATCATAATTTAAAGAAAAAAAAAGACAGTTATCTTGCGTTTAAGACACACATGTGCCCTTTATTATAACAAGGAACATTTTTACAGATAGAAAATGAAAAGATAAAATACATTTCTTGCAAATCATAACTTTGAGAGGAAGGAAACATATTGCAGATATTACAATTTCACTACAACCATATGGTTTTTTTTTTAAATCAGAAAAATTTCCAAATCATACTGGAGAGCTTCTTACAAATCACTGATGTGGACATGAAGACATCTTTTCCCAATTTTACTGAACTGTAACAAAAACATTTCATAACATACACAGATGGATGCCTCAGTGGATTTTTGTGTTACAGAACAGTAAATAAATATCAATTTATAAAACCTCAATATTTATTATGTTTTTTCTTTTTTTTTGAGAAAAATGTCGTCTACCAATATATTGTATCTATTTGTATATAGTTCAAATTTATTTATGCATAAGGGACAGTAAAATACAAAATATATATATTCTGTTCTGTTTGATATTTTAGAGGCTGTTGACTGGTGCTAGACCGATCAAAATTGCATGCTTAAGACATCAGATTTCTTAAACAAAATCTTGCTTACACGGGAACATATTTACAAAAGGATGAACACAGCCATAGGCTCAAACGAATAGGAGGGAACGGGGGAAAATGAAGTTTCCTTCTCCCTCTGGACAACAACATACACTGTGGCCGACCGGCCAATTCTCGAACACCACAGGACCAGCAGATACTCAAGCCTGTCTTAACCGCCAATCTCCAAGATGGCTGCATACTGTACACCTTATCACATCTCCACCACATCTCTACGTATGAATGCAATCAAATCTAGAGGCATAACATAACGCTGTTCCAACGATTCAGCAAATGTACACAACTCTACAGTGTAACTAAGAATCACAAAGTATTTAAAAGGGGAAAAGGACTTGTGCATGAAACACAGGACATATCCTCCGCTAACTTTCTTCACTTGCTGACTAGAAGATTTCCCACATTTAACAACAAGTTGAAATAACACTGAAACATGAAATGTGCTCTATAAAATGCCCCTTAATCACAATTTTCCTTATAAACAAGATTATACAAAAAAATATCAATATAAACAAAGACTGAGAAATCATATGAAAAAAAGGCAAAGACTAAAAGTCCTTGAGGAAATAAATACCCAGTGTGTATGCTGCGACTTCACTGCAGAAAAAAAGCTCTAAAAGAAAAGAGTCTCTAAAAGACCGTCTCTCTCCTGCGTACAAACCCAACACCATGGATCCCCGAAATTTCTGTAAGCAGGCAATGTGTATAAATAAAATAAGACATTAATAAATAAAAAGAATGGATAAAAAGCAGGTGTTGCTGTTAGTATGAAAGAATATAAAAAAAAGTCCTATTAAATCTTGTTTACAACTTTGCCCTTTTTTCTAAATTTTTTCACAGAGTGCCTTTTTTGTATAAAAAAATAGAGAGCAGCTCATCTGGGCAGAAAGACGCATGCACTTTATTTGAACTGTTCAGGTATATGTCCAATCTGAGACTGCATGCTCGTCGGTGGACTCGAGATGCCCTCTGACCAGTCGGACAGGTTGGAATGAGGTGATGAACTGGACCACTGATCGGGGGAGCCGGGGGAGGGCGTTAGAAAGGGGTGGTCAGGCACCTGGACCTGATGGTTTGGGGTGTTGTCCATGGGGCCTGAATAACTGTGTTGGGAGGGTGGGGTGAGGAACTGGGTGCTGGCCATTGACTGGTTGATGGCGGAGGGCATGATCTGGGTTTCCTGTGGCAGGATGGTGTGGATGGGCATGCTGGAGCTGCCTGTGCCCTGCTGGAGCTCCGGAGAACTCAGCTCACCACTGATGAAGCTCTGGCTGTTGGCGCTGTTTGAGTTTTGATGCTGCAGCTGGATGCTCTGCTGCTGTTGCTGCTGCTGCTGGAGCTGCTGCAGGTTCTGCATCTGCTGCATCTGTTGAGCCTGCTGCTGCATAATGAGGGGCTGCGGAGCCAGTCTGGTGCCCTGGATCCCCTGGTAGGTCATCATCTGAGATAGGCTGGTGTTGGGGTGGCCGTTGTGGAGGGCGGTCATCATCCCATGTTGGCCTCCCTGGTGCAGAGCTCCCTGACCGCCAGGACCTCCCCTCATAGGGTTGAACTGGCCTGGCTGGCTCATGTTGCCGTGCATCCTGGACAGCCAATCACACTGGCCATTCATGGCGCCCTGGCCACCGGAGCCAGACACAGGCAGATGGGTGAGACGGGGAGGAAGAGGGTCAAACTGCATGCGAGCCAGCTCCTGCTTGTTTGGCATCACCATGTGGTGTGGGTCAGACATACCCTGCAGATGGTTCAGGGATACAGATGGCGACTGCTGGAAAGGTGAGGTCATCATGGGCGGCGAGGCCACGTCAGAAACATAGCCGTGAGGAGACTCCAACGAGTCAACGGGTGACAGAACAGACGAGCTGTCCAGGAGGTTCCCAGACTTCCCATCCTGGGAAATCTTCTTCTTCACCTTCATGTCTTTGCCGTCCTTGCAGCCGATGCCCTTGGTGCTGGGCTTGCGTGACTTCTTGCCCTGGCCTTGACCCTGTGGCTGCTTCATGCTGCCCAGGTAACCGTTGGGCGAGCAAAGAGGGGGCGACAACGTTGTGCTGAGAGACCCTACATGCATGGGAGGACTTCGTACCAGGTTGTACTCGTCCATCAGACGCACGATGTCGTGATGCATTCTCTCCTGTGCAATGTCTCTGGGCAGCCGGTCCATGTGGTCAGTTATTTCTCTGTTGGCAAAGTGGTCCAGTAAGACCTTGGCGGTCTCGTAGCTTCCCTCCCTCGCAGCCAAGAACAGAGGTGTTTCCTCCTGAGGCAGAGAGAGAGAGGAATCAAATGTTAAAGGATTCTCACATGCACAAGGTAGATTCAGAAAAATGTTTCTCTGTCGTTTTACAGAACAAAGAGGAAGAAGAGACAGATTGTTTTCATACCTTGTTGTTTTGCATGTCCTTGTTGGCACCGTTTTTTAGAAGCACAATAGCAGCCTCCACATTATTTACAGCTGCAGCCCAATGTAGAGCTGATTTACCTGAGAAGAACAAAAAAAAATACAAGGTTATCGAATCTTCATTTGAGGCTTTTTTCAGGACTAAGACGTTTTCTAAGAAGTTTTAGGTCCTGTACCGAAATCATCGATTGCATTGACGTCAGCGTGACAGTTGATGAGCTCCTCCACCATCCCCTCCACTGCCAGCCTGGCAGCCAAGATCAGGGGCGTAGTGCCGTCATGCATGCGGGAATCCAAGTCTGTGGCGCGGTTCCTTATCAGAATCTATAGACACACAATAATTAGATTTAATCTTAATATCATTCCATTGAAATATTAAATAAACAATGTACACTGAGATTCATTTGAATTAAGTTTAACCTTTATTGGGGATTTAACTACCAACTTCCTGTGGATTAACAAATTTACTGTTTAGCCCACAAGAAAATATAAAAAACACGAGAATCACAACTTCAGAGATCTCTACTCTAACAAACAATCTTAAACACAATTAACAGAAAAATAAAACAAATTCATTGGCAAATCATCACATCTGAGAATATGGATGATAATGAGTTGTCTGTTTATGTATGAAATTATAAATCAAACAGTTATCTGAAGGAAGCCTGAGAAGAGGAAAACGATTCTGTATAGAAATGGAAAAGTTAACATGCCACAGAATTAGAGGATAAATACTGTATGTGAATAATGTGGCACAAGAGAGCTCACCTGGAAAACCCCCTGGGCATCAGCTGCCACAGCAGCGTGCAGAGGCGTCCTGCCCATGTTGTCCTGGATGTTGGCGTCAGCGCTGGCCTCCAGCAGGCGCTTCGCGGCGTCAGACCGAGCGTAGCGGGCAGCCAGGTGAAGAGCGGTTTCACCCGTACGGTCCGTCTGATTGTGGAGGTTAGCACCTTGGTAGATGAAGTCGTTGATCACGTTGGCGGAGGCGTCCTCCTCTTCCTCGCTGTTGCCGGTTTCTACACCTCCCCCGCTGCAGGACGCAATCATCAGGGGCGTGAATCCATCTGGACGAGGAGGGGAGAGGGAGGAGAGGGATATGAGAAGAGGCGCTTTGCAGGTAACGGACTGCGTGGTCAGCACAGAGCCAGCGAGCAGAGAGAGAAGAGCCTGCACTTCAAAGCATCCGCCAGATCAAAACAAGGCAACAAACAAATCGAATGCGGATTTGACACTTTTGCCTGGGTTGAATCATCACAGCTTTCTTTTCGATAATGGATTCTGATCAAGGCCTCAGCACAGGAGAAGCTTCTGAGGGAAAGCGAAGCTGGGGGGATAGAGGCCGGGGCTTGTTAAAGCTAGGCTGCTGCAAAACCCAAACATTCATATCTAACTGTGAGAGGCAGAACTGTCAGTCGCCTTGGATAGGTTTTCTCCTCTTCAAAAGGATCGCAAGCCCCAGATCTCACAGATTTGGTCGATTCAAGTGCATCGATCCCCGGCGGGGGGAAAAAGTGTGCTCTCAAGTTCTTAACCCTGTTACTTTGATTGTTCGTAGCTTTTGCTCAGGGAATTTGGCACTTACTACAAAATTAGGTTTTTGCATTTGATGCCTTCATTGGGTTTTGTAATGTGGAACAGAAAAAAAACAGAGGCCCATTAATGGTCAAATGATTAATCTGATCAGGAATGAGTGTTTTCCCTCAGGCGCCTGGCTTCCACTCGGCTGCTTTGAAGAAGATCCTTTACCCTGAGGACATGGGGCTTTAGCAACTCCTACATGCGCGGTTACACACACACACACACACACACACATGCACGCACGCACGCACACACACACACACATGCACACACACACAAGAAACAAGGCTTAGAAAAAGGTGTGAATCAATCTACACACACACACACACTCACAAAACTAGAAATGTTTACCGAAAAACTTCACCCCTTGATCAATATCACAAGTTCCACTAACGAGTGAGTTTAACTTTTCAAATCATTTCAGCTGAATTATTTTTAGAGGTTTGAAGAGAAGAAATAATTGAATGTTTTACAAAACAAGCAAGAAAGAAAAAAAATAAAGCTCATTTTATGTCTGATTTATTTACATATTTTCCAACACAATTATGTTTGTGTGGAAATGATATTGTTATTTGTAAAAAATAGGAATATTTGATCTAAATTAGATTCACAGCACAGAAGCACAGAACTCCCTTTAATTTCCTTAATATGTGTTAACAGTTCATCCCACCTGGTCCCCGGACATTGACGTCCATGCAGTCATTCTCAATCTCGCCCTGAGGGGGTGTGGGAGCGATGGAGGGGATGCGCAGGTCAGCGGCGTCCAGGTGCTGCTGGGTCCACTGGCGGTGGTCCGTCTGGTCGTCCACCTCCAGTATCGCCTGCTCATCAAACTGCTGGAACAGGGACAGCAAGAGGTTAGACATCTCAAAAATCTCAAAAATCAAATAGTATAATTCAATTTTGTTTGATGATGTTATAAAAAAATCTGGAAAATTCAAAATTCACAACAAAGATTTTTTTTAAATCCCATATAGGAAATTCAAACATTTCCTGGGTAGTATTTTTTTTAAGGAATAAGTTTTAAGTTGCATAAAATTATAATGAAGTATAAATAAATCTTTAAAATCTCAGTTTCTGTTTCCTCACCCTGAAGCGTTTTGCATCCGAAGGCTCGTCCTCGCCCCAATCAGTCTGGGCGTCATCCATGAGTGAAATGTCCGAAGTGTTTTTCAGTGGCCTGTGAAGAAGCAGCAAACCCAGTAAAAATCCTCGTACTCCATCTCATCCGAGCCCCTCACTGCTACTGGTGCAGCAGTGCCGAAAAACAAAAGCATTGATTGAATCCACACCCCACCCCTCTGCCCCAACAGGTCAATTAATGAGAACCTGCTATATCATTATCATTAATGATCCAGGCAAAAGCCTCCTTTTCCAAATTTGACGGACCACCAGTTGGACCCATCTTGTCCTTCAGAACCAGCCCTTCACCCGACCCGCACAGAAACAGGAACCCGCTGTTGAATAAACCGAAACTTACTTTAATCCCACTGAATCCTCTCCGACAGGCTCACGTCTCTTCTTCTTGCTGGTCTCTGTGGTCTTGAAGCCCTCGGGGAGCCAGAGGCGCCCGTGCTCATGGCGCCGCTTTCGGGCAGCCACCATCCCGACTCCGAGGAAGGCCAGTATCCCGACGCCGCCCAGGACCAGGTAGATCGGGTAGAGGTTCGTTGAAATCTTTGGGTCCACATCGCCTGGAAGGAACAGGGACAACATGGTCACGAGGGAAAAGACGCGGATGCCCAGGATCAGCCCGAGTGCCGGAGCAGAGCGAGTCCGGCTCTTCTTCGCCCGACGGCTCCCGCTCCCAAAAACACACCGCAACCGACAGCAAGCTCCACAAACTGACTGGTGATCCTCACCGTTTGTAAAGCTAGCTTCCACTACCTATTCAGTAATAATCAGAATTGCTAACCACTTTTCAGAAAAAAAAAAAAAAAAACAGGGATGGGGCGTGATAAAAAAAAGAAAAAGGGGAAAAGGAGAACACCACCACCACCACCTCCTCTCTCCCTTTTCAACCTAGGGTACCAGGAGACAACTTTACCATTTCTTCTTTAAGAGAAAAAAAGGAGGGGGATTAATGAACTTCAAATTACTGCACGCGCTTTAAGCTGTAAAGACGAAGGATTTATTAGGATTTTCGAGATAACAAAGACTCCCAACTTCTAGCACACTCCCGATCAATTTTTCCCTTTCTCTTTTTTTTATTCCACTAACGATTTTGAAATGATAAACTCCCCCAACCTAAACCCTCAGAGATGCATTAAGTCCTGGTATTACATTCAGCGAGGTGAAGGTTGCAGCAGCCCCTCACACTGTGGGATGAAGTGTGCGAGCGTGTGCATGTGCATGAGTGTGTTATCTGTGGACGTAAACGTGTACATGTCTGAGAAAGACGGAGATAGAGCGTTATTCTGTGTGAGGAGGGGATTGGTGGAGTTGATTTGCAGCAATTAACCATTTTGGAGCCCGAAGCCAGTGGATTTACACAACCAGGGAAGGATTGATTGTTTAGGCCATGAGATTCACAATTGCATTTGTTCACTGCTGCATAACAAATACACAATCAAAGAGCAGCAGGGTTAGGACCCGACCAGAGGGCGCAGCTGATTCTTTGAGTTCGAGCGTGAAAAGAGCACGTGTCTTATCCACTCGTGTCTGAGCATTTACGTGTCACCATGAAAACCAGGCCTTTAAAGAACCGTGCATAGAAAATCACATGTATTTTACATCACAACTAATCAGACTGCAAAACATTCAGTTTTGTTTTTTTTCTCCTACCAACACAAGACGCCTTTGGTTTATTCTCAAATGAAAATCAATGACCAGACTCTTTGAACTAGTTTGAGTTGCGAACATCAAATGTGCATTAAGGTTGAAATTATTTTGGTTGTGCAAATGCTGTTTAAAGGATGGGGATAGTGACGTTCTCTGCTTTTGTTCTGGTCAAAACCAACAATACATTTATTTTTTAATCCATCTCTCAAACGTGTGTGTGACATCACTTCCTTGTCTGTGGCACCACTGAAGACTTTATCTTTGAAAACAGGATTTAGTTTTAAAAAGGTGAGGACATATTCCTGCGACAGCCGCAAAACCAAAATTGGTGTCCTCGGTTACCCTCGTGATGTTTCTCTCATGAAACACAAAATATCAAAAGACTTCACTTCACTACCTGATTAACATAATTACACACGGACATGCTGATGACCTGATCCTTTAGATTTTATGCTGCTGGAATAAAACCAGAATTCTGACAAACAAGTGCACTTTAAATTGACTCAACAATCAACTGCACAATGGAAGAAGGTTCATCAGACTTGAGTGCAAATTAATTTAAAAAAAGTCTGCACTCCGTTAGCATGTGATGAATGAACCGAAGCAAGTTTCAGGAGTCCGTTGATTGATTTTCAGAGATGAGCAGAAAAAAACAGTTCTGCGGAATTGAAAAGAGTTTTTCTTTAAATCATTTTATAAAGTACACTCACTGAAAACTGCTTTGATGGTGTAGGGAACGTCCAGTTTGCCGCTGGAGGCCAGAGCCCCGAGGAAGGCTGCAGCATCGTTGGTGCTCTGGAAACACTCGGTGGACTGCTGGAAGCACTGACGGTTATCCACCTCCAAATGCACGACTGAACTAAAGTGCAGCAAAGAGACGGCGCGTCATATTAAGCCAACAACCGAGGAAAATAATCAAAATATATCAATGAAGGGAACATGTTGAATACTCTTCCTCACCCTTTAATCTGTAAGTGATCCAGCTCCCTCCTCATCCTCCCGCTCCCTCCTGCAGCATCGGACAGGCTCCTCTTCACCACGTCCAGCACTTTGGCAGGAACCTCCGACCACGAGTCCACCGAGCGCTTCACGTTGTACTTCCTCAGCTCGTGTTCGTTCCCGTAGTACGGATATACCATCGTCTCGCCCTTGCTGTCCCTCCTGAGTACCACGTTGGTCCGGAGCACGCGGCTCAGTTCGCGTAGGAAGGCAGAGGAGTTGCTGAGGAGCTGCTCGGGCGTGATGTGGACCACCACGACCAGCTGGCCCACCGCTAGCTTCTCCGGCATGTTGTTGGCGCAGTCCAGGCCGTCCCACTCACACTCAGCGTTGTTGCAGCCCTGGTCACAGTGGCCGTCGGCATAGTGGTCCTTACAGTACTGGTCATACAGAGGACTGGCGGAAAAAAGCACAGGTTAGCGGCGCTGTAATGAGGACATGAGGATCATTATGTGTTTCCCTGCATGGAGCATTATTATTTAGCAGGAGAAAGATAGAAATAGGCATAAAAATACACATTCAATGTCAGAAAAACTGAATTACAACTGCTTTTGTAATCGTCAGCGTTCGCCGTCAGTGCAGGTTTAGTCTACACACATTATTTTTCACTGAGACCTTTGACCTTTTAAATCTAATCACTTCATCTTTGGTCAAAATGTGAAGAAATTCCCCACAGCCAGACTTTGAGCTTTAATCTTTGACCACACAAATCGTATCAGTCCATCTCCTGGTCCAACTGAATGTTAGTCCCTCAATGTGTTCTTGAGATACTGTGTTTACTAGTATGGGACGGGCGGACGGGCGCAGAGACAAAAGAATTGTCAGAAAAACAGAAATGTATTAGTTAGTTCTAAAACCCTTAATTAAGAAAATGCAATCCTGAAATTTTGAGAAAAATGTGCCAAGAGGTTAGAACCTAAATCTGCCAAATGAAACAAAAGAGGTTTTGAGGCCGGCTATTATCTGCTACAGGCCGAGTATGAAAGAAGAAGTTCTTCTAATCAGCAGCTTAAAACACAACATCAAGAAATTTCAGGAAATTCAATGAAAGTGAACCTTAAATTACTTACTTGCATTGACCTTCCAGATTCTGGCAGTCAAACCCGTCGTAGAGGCATCCGGCGTTATCACACTGCGAGTCGCACTTCCCGTTGTTGAAGTACCGCCAGCACTGCAGCGAGGCCGAGCAGTTCTTCCACGGGTCGTTGAAGTTGAGCGAACAATCGCCGTTGTCCCAGCCGCACTCGTGGTTGTTGCAGACCATGTCGCACAAATTGTTGTGCTCCTTGCACTTCGGGATCCCGCAGGTGACCTCCACCTCCGACGGCGGCGGGATGTCGTGGCCGAACCCTCCCTCGAAGCTGTGATCCAGGATGTGGCAGCGGAGGCCGTTGAAGTTCTTGGGGCAGACGCAGTTGTAGTACGGCGCCTCGGAGGTGTACTCGCACGTGCCACCGTTGTAGCAGGGGTTTGAGTTACAGGGGCTGTCGGTGGGATACTGGCACTCGGGCCCGGTGAACGATGGGGTGCACAGACACTTGGGGCTCTTCTGGCCGGAGATGCAGGTGCCTCCATTGCGACAGTGAAGGCTGCCGCAGGCCTGGGCGTCGTACTCACATGTGGAGCCAGTGAAGCCCTGACAGGGAAAAAAAAGAAAAACACATTTGAATTAGGATTAATTTCACAAAAACCGTTCAGGGCTCCTTAATAAAAAAAATCTAACAACAATAATAAGTCATCTGTCTCCAATTTGACCCTCAGTTTTAATCATAATATAAATATAAATAAGTGAAAATTGAAGGATACAAGTATCGCAGCTCAAATCTGCTCACACTAGTCGCTTTTATTTCAGGAAGGGGTCACGGTAAAGGTCAAGGTTCGGCTGCGTATCAGTTAGTTTGGATAAAACCCTACAATGTCTTAACAAGTGACAAAGATCTGTGTGTGTGTGTGTGTGTGTGTGTGTGTGTGTGTGTGTGTGT